TCTTTTGTTGGTTTGAATCAGCACTGTTCCCACGTTTGCTATCAGTGTACGTTCGGCTGTACACGGAGTACACCATCCAAGCTTGGAGTCCATGGTTGCAACGTGAGCGTCAGATGCAGAGAAATTCCACAAAGGATGGCCCCTAAAATGATCAGGGGGTGCATTTCCTGACATATTAGGAGAGATTATGATCATTGGGACTATATGCTGCTCATTATTGCCCAATTCGTCCGTTGCTCAGTTTGTCACCAAACATATGCCTTAGGGGACACCGTTTGACGTTACCGATTCCAAAGTGTTGACTGGAATGCCGACACCAATCTACTGAAGTCAGAGTATGCAGTACTTGGAATACCCATCCATCTCACGTTGTTTGTGCACCAACTATGGAATCTTTCAAGCGGAAAGTCGATGAAATCTTGGTACATCCTTCACATTCCTATACAACTAAAATCAGCCGCAAATTCGTTGAACCCAACATTCTCTGTTATCTCCTACCCGGAACTTTATTTGATCGTCTATCATTTTTTTACCGAGAAAGGATTAAACTGTGTAGAAATATCCTATGGTAGCAAACGAAGCATGAGTTTGTAAGTAATTTACACAACAACACTTTGACTTCGACTTTGCTTCTACGACGGATACACCANCAACAATCGTTGTCACAGTCGGACATTTCCCAAGGCATTTAACTAACAGAAGACAAAACATAAATGAAAACTATCACCACAATTTTGTATCCAGTGCCACGTACTACTGTTTTAACCATTCTCATGAATAAACCTCAAAACGTTAATAATTCGAGAGGAAAAGGTCTGATGAAAATCACAGTGTTGCTCGAGTATGATAATTACTTGTACACTGCATGAATAATCTGTAATGAACTACAGAAAAATAAACTATATAACTTTTTATTAATCTGACTTCATCAGGTATGTGATGAAGTTGAATTAAAACCATCGAGTGAGTTACTATTGTCATAGTAGCATCGATTTTAACAGAGAACGTCCACTGACTACGAATTATCAGATCTTGATGATATTTGTTTTGTGTTCTGCGTTCGGTATGTTTTTCCGAAATTTAATCAAACAAAATCTATTTTATCCCTGATCTGAACCCTTTACTTGGTAACTATTATAGACGAATAACTTTCACTGGTCATAATCCTGAGCTATTCATTTATTTCAATTTCCGGGGCCATTCTAAAGTTATGCAATTTCTCCCAATCCAAATGTTGTTGACTTTCCACGGAAAAATTGACGGGTATCTTTGATTCTCATCTGTCATTCAGTGTCTCATATCAATGCGGGGGAAACAACATGGTCTTCTCCACCTGTCGGTTCAGTGCTCAATCCAATCGGATGAAATCGTCCCGGTATTGTTCCTCGGACAGAATGACTGTTCTGTCATCATCAAATAGCCTCAAATAGTCTCCGCTGAGAAATTCCCAGCTAACTACCTTCTAGTGGCGATGTTTTCCCACCAAAGTGATAAGTTGGAAAGCCATCACATCCGGAACTATAACCGGATTATGGGGGAGTTGGCCAAAAACCCTGATTCCAAACCAACCAAGAGGAGGTGTACGAATCAAACCCACACCGTCCCGATTGTCGCGGTTGTGGTCACCGGCTCGATTGGGCATTGGGGTGTATTGGGCACCTGGAACGTTTGATCCCGTCCAAACANCCCCCCCCCCCAATGGATTGCGGTTTTTGCACACCGCCTTGCTGCCTAGAGGCTCAGGCTTTCGTTAGTCAAAAGCTACGGTTATGAATTCCTCAAGAAAAATCACCTGCCTTTGCCTAGGCAGTCTAGCAGTATTCGGCCCACATGCAAATTATAGAACGTCTTTCTTTTTCATAAAGATTACTGTACTGTGATGTATTTAGCACACAGTCTGGAATCAGGCGTGTGTGAAAGTATGAATGTAAAACATACAGTCATTACCAAAACTACTCCTGATTACTCGTATGTTCAATTTTCGTCCAGTTTATACCAGACACACTTTTTACTGATACACATACCAAGCAGTTTCTGATAGAAGATTCAACCAGTCTCTATTACCCAGATCTTCACGGCTTCTTCTTAAGCCCACAACTCCTCATCGTCGGGTTGCATCAGCCATAAGTTCAGGAAGAAGCTACAATCAACGATTCGCAAAACGTTGTATGAAGACCTCCAGGGCTTTCCAGTTGTAGACGTAAAAAGGTGGCTGGAACATTGATTGATGAATCACATTACAAAGTAATAGTGGCCTAAACCACCTAGAGCTGTATACAATGACATCTGGAACTCACTTCGCACAAGACGATAACTTCAGCAACACTGATGGGAATATTTTGCAGTTCCAGCAGGGTGAGAGCACTCGACAAACGGAGTGTGGATCGTAAGGCCCGACACAAGCTCCGTTTAACTGTTGCACTGGCCAGTAGCGAAGGAGTCGGGCGTCGATATGCGGTGAATGAAGAGCCTTAAATGTGAAAAGAAACAGTTACTGGGAAATTAGTTATCTTAGTTTTGTTTGTGGTTACAGTGTGTGATTGGAAAAACTGTCATTCAAGATGTGCTCCCTGTACAAACAAGTGTTACTTATTGGTGTTAGTGTGTTGTTGTTGGTGTTGGTGGTGGTCGTGGTGGTTGGAACTGTTCCAAATTTCCGTCTCACTATGGCCACGTAAAATACTTTGAATATAAAACCGAATTTGGACATATCCTTTCCGCTTTAGTGGTAATCGTTCCTTCGACTATTGGTGAACCGTTACCTCTAAGAATGTTCACGGGTACCTGTCCACTATCAAGCTAAAAGAGTGCATTAGCATTTTTAGAATATGAAAAATATTTTAGGGATGAATGTGAAAAAAAACAAGTGCATTCTGAGAACACGGAATACAAATTAACTTTTGAGTAAACCCGTGATAAAGTGAGGTTTCTTCCACAAGGGGTTAAAAACTCCTAACTCGGAACTTCCGCTGCTGCTTGTGGTTTATCAGCCTTGCAGATCTGTATATATATATGAGCCATCATTGCAGAATACAGAAGTTTTGTAATGAATATAGATGTGATATTTGTCCTGGCCATGTGTTTTTTGTAGACCCGGTAACAGAACTCAGTAAACTAGAACACGCCACACAAGTATCAACTATAGAACCGGATTCACAATAGAACAAATGTTTGGTTCATGTCCAGCCTTAAACAATCCAGTTCGGGGACAGAAAACAAGCTCAAAACGTGGAGGCCAATATTGATCAAGCACAATTGTATCGCATGATCAGACAATCGAGCGGGACAGGCGGAGGATGAACACACATGTACAGCCGTGCTTACTATTGGTCGTTCAATGAGAGCGAGAGAGAGAAAAAGCACATACTGTGCTCTTCACCTCACCTCAAAACTACCAGTGACATGGAATGCACGCGCGAAAATGGCCGCTCCCATCAAGTAGTCTTGTCTTGAGAATGACTCGCTACAAAAGTGCTTCATCCCTGATTATGGGAGAAAGGTGATCAACATTTTTGACCGCAAATAACTCCAAATCCCAGATGGTAATATACACGTAACCTCGAAAGTCGTTGTACCACTCCAGTGAATGTAAAACAGATTGTAGCTCATCTGCCCCATTTAATGTTACATATTCTAAGAGATTCCCACCTGTTTGTTTACAGAGACCCCAAACCGTTTCAATTTAAAGTGACCACATCCCAGATTCTCGTTCCTTAACAAACTCTACTCATTCTGAAGAAGTTACTTGAGTAGTTTTCCAAACAGTTGAACTGTTGTGTCAAGAGAAATGCAACGACTTTTCAATCTACCACATCCAACAAATGTAGGGTCTCACAAAAACCATTCATCATTCATATGAACGACATGACATTCAATCGGGGATTCGAATCCCACGCATGAATCAAATGGAAAGTGTCTCACTTAGGGGGAGGGGTCCCCCTATTCTCATGAAAAATCGTTTTTGTTCCTGGCTCGTTCTGTTCACATCCCTTGTGCAATTATCAAGAGAGAGAGAGCTCGCGCGCGCGTGTTGCCCCTTAAATTCCGTCTGACTTTTGGCACACCATCTATGGTTTTCGTTATTGTTGCTAAGTAGTTCTCAGCGTGGATTGTTTCACCTAAATGTATTTAGTAAGTAGTATCGAAGGAAAGGCTGAATACAAATGAAGATACTGAGGGGGAGGGTCGGGGGGGGGCTTAATAGACACGTATTGCTGACACACGTTTGCAATACCACTTCATAACTGGTTTGATCTTTCGCTTCGCGTTTTTCGTAAGAAACACCATAGCTTTGTCTGGAGGTCAGACACAACACATACTCAGCCGGGTAAAGTGAGCACGGGTCACGTGATCACACTAATCTGTTCCTAGTGGGCAATATTGTTTGAATGTTTAACAGTTATAACGAAAGTGTATCACACACGTGACAATCTATCAGCTGACCAAATCGGGATATTTTTTTTATATGAGCAATATAGTATAAACCTAAGTTTTGTATGTTGCCCCTATCAGGCTCATACACAATCGTCGTATTTAGCCATCACAAGTAAACCATATGAGTTGTCATAGCAACTATGATAGTTGTTGATTGTTTATCACTCGAATCCTGGAAAGGTGATCTGAGAATGGTGTAACTGTGTGATGAAGTCGCGACTGCACATTTGAATAGCCGGTCAGCTTACCCCAAATCTGAACCAATCTGATCGTACCTCATTGATTTGGTGAACATATCATTTTTTCCTATTCCTAAATACGGTTTGATGGAAAAGTTTCAACTGATTAAAGGGCACGAACCCTGGACAGTATTTTTGCAATAGGATCTTGAATACAACACCCTACATCAACATCTTCCGAAACAGTTTTAAACTTAACAATAAATGTTTCAATAGCCGCACAGAACTCATTGAGAACAACAACATCCACAACGTAACTTTATCTCTCCCGTGGCTCACTTCGTCCGACCCCCAAAACGTGTGCAATCACTTGAAATTCCTTGACTCTTTGATTACTGTAGTAGGTGTAATACGCACTGGTAACAAAATCACGAAATCACATATTAGAAATCACAGACGCTACGTAAGCACTGGATCACACTGGTACTAGCACACAGTATCCCACGTAACCGAGATGCGACGAGGTAAAGGCCACAGAAATAGCAGTTCACTTAATGAAGGAACTCATGGAGCTTAAATAATATGTACAAAACAAGTTTATTGGTCATCCAAACCTCTGCCAGTCGCGGGCGAGTATTTCTAGGGTTGTTCTGCCTCTTTCTGGGCTGTGCGGTTTCCGATTGGGTGGTACAACTGGCCTATTTTTTGTAGTCCAGAAGCTGTGGCACGTACGCGCTTTGTTGACGTCACCCGGGAAGCTCGATTGATGACAATTGTTCGAAAACTGTAGTGTGCCACCCCGTGGTATGCGTCGTCTCTTAGACTAGGACCACCACAATCTCTTTCAGACGAACACACACGCACACACGTTTGGAGCCAGAGCTGAACCAGAAGGACCTTGAATTTCTGAACCCTCTCTTTTTATTCTTGATGTTAGTCACGAGTAGTGTTATGTAATGGTATGATTACGGATAACCGCAAACGAGCTTGTTCGTCACGCTGTTGTTTTCAGCATTATATCCCAGTTCGTCTTATGGTATGAGATTGTCCCCTTGCTATACAAGGATATGACTTGGACCAATCAAAAATAACTCTTTGTGTATTGCAGTGCTGTCTCTGATCATCCTAGTTCAGAGCACGCGTTAGTGCAACTGGGCTCGATGCTTCCAATAGACGACATTTATCAGTCCGATACGAATCAGGCCATGCACAACAGGTCTCTGTGACTTTACAACACAACTGGATTGGGAAATGAAAATGGAACTGAATCAAACTGTTTTCCACTCAGTCAACAGAGATATATTCGTTTCGAAAATTCAACTGCCACAATGTTAGATATTAACGTAAATTTGCGATTGTGAATATCATGTAGGCATTAGGTAGGCGTTCTGAAGTCTAACTTTGGCGTAAACACCAAAAGTTGAGACTTTTCTGAATCGTTCGTAGTTCCGTATTGATCAAATGTTAGTTCGTCCCATTCAAGTGGGTAAATAGGCATGCGGTGAATTGTGCAGTACATTTATTGTAGTAGGTACACATGTAGCTGGTCCGTAGACCTGTGAGCAAACAGAAGTGGGCAACACATGGGCACCTAGTCAGGCAGACAGGCCAACAAACGGTTCAAGCCGCACAGGACATCCGAATGCCGTCACTCGGGGCATTGAAACAGTTGACGAATCAATCAGCGCGGACAGTCCAATACTAACACCTGAATGGCTGGAGCCGATCAATATTTTAATAGAGTCAGTTCGCATGAGGTGTGTGCGTGTGTGATAGCAGGCAGCATCTGTCAATGAATCGATCGAACAATCCGATCACAGGCATGCATGATAAACGTAGGCCACAGTAGTATCTTCATTTTGGTAATTCACTCTTATATTTGCGTCTTTAAAGCATATCAATGGATTCAAAAATACAACACGCATCAAATATTTTCAAACCACCATTGATCCTCTCTTTTTGAAGCGTATCCTACTTTAGTTCTTCCGCATGCCCGTTAAAACAGCTGTTTTTGTTATCAGACATTGAAGGATTCTTTCCACCGGTTGTCTTTTCTGCATGATTGATATGACCTACAAGGGTTTGTACCTTTTCACATAAGCATTTATCCCCGAATTATGCATTACATTCTCGACAGTAAAATTTACTATCGTTCACTTAGTGAAATAATCCCACAGAGCACACTTCAAACAAAACAACAGAATGTCGAACAAGCTCATTTTCAGATATTCGTATTCATGCCAACACATCTCAGTATATATATATATATA